GAACACCTCTGTATCACCAAACCCATGATATTATCACATAATTATAAGACACGGAAGTTCCTACAGAAATCAATTACTGGGCTGTTTACTTAAAGGATGAGTGAATCTGAAACTTGTTGGTCACTAATGTGAAAGTAAAGTTTCACCAAATTTCTGCAGATAGGAGTCATGACAATTCAGATGCCAGGAAAAGGACACTGGCTAACAGATCTGCGTGCACAACTCGGACAGAAGTAATAAATGGCTGAGAAACTTCTAATGCATTTGCAGTTTGTACAGATGACTCTGATAACCTCTTATTATGCCATATGGAGGCCCTGACTAACAGCCAGGGGCCTTAAATTACATTGAAATTGATTCCTACACTGCAGCTTTCAGCTGTAAATTATGTCAAAAGACTATGAGCTTAAAATGAAAATGAATAGAAATATGTAAAAGCAAATGAGCTCTAGTAAGTCCTTATTAGTCTAAGGTAATAATGTGCATCATCACTGATGCCCAACGCCAGTTTTTGCCATCTATTGGCTACATTGCCTTTTTTAAATAAATATAGACATCAGGTTGTGTACAGAATTCTCCCTTTCAATCCACACACATTGCATAACAATATTAAATTACAGTACATAATTGGTTAAACATTACTCTTTAAAATTTCTTGAACCTTGTAGCCAATCTTAAATACTGCATGTACTCTATTAAATACAAGCTCACCCAAGAGACATAAACTGACTGAAGCCAGGAAATTCTAAATGAAGGCTCAAGCTGACATTTTGTCCCTAACTTATATAACTATGTTTCCTCATAGCTACTAAGAGTGCATGTCCTAATGGTGTTTCTTTCTTTATTTGTACAAATAATATTATTGCAGCAGTCAGAACCTTCATTTAAGAAAGCAGGATACATAAACTACCTTGAAAGTTGGCCTGTGGTGGAAAGATGTAGGCATAGAGTTTCTCCTTCTTGTGCTCCTTTTTTGAATATTTTTGGATCCAATGAAAAGAAAAGAAAGTCAAGAAAAGGTAAGCATTTAATTCCCAAACTACTTCAAAATTGTGATTTAGTAAATTCAGCCAGCTTGCAATGGTGTTATTTTAACCACACCTCTTGAACTGCTATTGGCAAAATAAATCTGAAAACAATGAAGCCATAATAAACAAAAACACAAAATAAAAACCCAACAGTCAAGAAGAGAAGAGAAGAGAAGAGAAGAGAAGAGAAGAGAAGAGAAGAGAAGAGAAGAGAAGAGAAGAGAAGAGAAAAGAAACACTGCAAATAATATATAGCCTTGTACCCCCTGGACAGCAGAAAAAAGAATTATCATCCATCATGTTGAAAATTAAACTGTTAAACATCACTGCCTTTTTACAGTCAATTATATTTTCTGTCTATGTTTCCTAAGAGTACACATTTCTGTGTCTGGCTCAGCATTAGCCTAGCAACAGAACATCAAAGACGGGTAGACTCTGAACAAATAAGACATCAACATTACTGTAAGATAAAAAATACATCATCAGAAAAGCAGGAATCATTATGTCATGAAAAGTGATTAGCCATTATTTAATAACAGAAACTAAAAAAGATAAATAAACCAAACTAGGTTTCATCACATTTCACTCTAGCACCAAGTGCCTCCACAACTTCAGGCAAATCACAATCTCAGGGCTTGATTTTGTCCATCTGTTAAATGGTATAGTCTTAGCTATACCATATGGCTAGATTGGTAGAAGAACTTTCTGTTAGTCTGCAGACAGATATAAGCCAATGAAGATAAAACAAAACTTCAAGTTATAGTTCAAAAGCCATGACTGTTTTCAGCAACAAAACTATGCTAAAATTTTGATAAAAAGTCATAATATGTTACAGCAGGTGATTGAGCCTGGGTGCTTCCATAAGGCAGTTTTTGAGTAATTGGGGTATTCAGAACAAGATGAGACATCATCAGCGTTGAGGAGTCCTGAGCAGACTCGCTAACACACAAAGCAGAGTTAAAGCACAGGGCGTTCGTTGCTGCTACGTGTGGCTTGAATATGAGCTAGCTGAAATCTGGAAGAAGCATGTCTGTATTTCTGTAGGGCTTGTAATTAAATTCCTTGAAGACCATGGTAGGAAGCTCACTGTGCTTAGATTTTGTAACTTCAACTTCTGCCAGTGTGGGATCTCTGCACCGTATTGCACTTACCAATGGTGTACCCACAAAACAGTTGTTTAAAGCCACCGGAGGCCTTTAAGTAATCTGAGAGGTTACTACGTACAGTGAGCACCTTACAGCCAAATTCAAAGTCTGAGCTGTTTATAAAGGATGGGAGATGATTAATTTTGTTAGTCTTCTTTTTTTCCTGTAATATAAAGTACATAATTTCATCCTTTGTTTGAAGGTTCATTCAATTATCTAAACAAAAATTCTCCTAGCACTGTAAATCCATTTGCACAAGTTTCTCTCTCTTCAACCTGTGCTTTTAAGTCTCAGCAGATTCAGTTAAAACTAGGAAAATGGAAAAAGACTCTCTTTCTCAATAGGAAAAAATTCTTCCTGGTAATGAGACTATTATGGTTTGCAGATTGCCATCATCGAACATTTTGGCCACTCCCCCACTGCAAGTATCCCAGTCAAATCAACGTGCCACTAACAGAACAATACACCTCTCAAAATGCCTTGGGCTAGGAACACATTGCTGGTGCAGTTCAGGTGATGTAAATAAAGCACTTCCATTTGTTTTGTAAAATATCAACTCAAACTTGGCTGATCCTTTTTCAGGTTCAGTCTTAGACAGCAACAAACAATTCTGCAAACCTGAAAAGGCATTTTTAGCAAACAGACTATTTGAAAGACAGTAATCTGTGCTCCCCTCTTTACTAGAAAAACAAGTTACAATATATTTGACTAAATCTCTGTTGTTAAAAAGTGCTATTGGAAAATTCTAATTTTTCATTTTGAAATTTAGCTATATTTCATTTAAGAAGGAGAAAAAAACCAGCCAAGAATAGAAAGCTTTAGACTGAATCACTAGAGTTTTTTTCCCGTTTTAATAGTCTCCCCCACCCCCCAAAAAAAACTTTCCCATCCAGCCATGAAATCAAAAATATCAAGTATTCACAAGTAGTTGGCTTACTTCTTTTTCCTACTCCTATTCTCAGCAATTTTGTATGACAAAGGGATTTGAAAAAGAACTGAGAAACAAATGCAAAACCCCTTAACTGCTGGAATCAATAAAATGCTCTGAAGTCTTTAAAGAAATGAATTACCCATTGCTTGGATATTTTAAACTGAAATGATCATGACAACAATTAATGTGCAGGAAAGATCAAACCTACAGTGGAAAGGCTTTGGAAAACAGGCACACAGCTCTTGATCACATTTAACTTTTATGATGCCCTAGTGCTCCACATAGCAGAGCTTCAGAGAATGCTCACAAGCATTTACTAGGATATGCACATTTCTTGCTCGCTCTTTCTTTAGCTCATCTTCTTCTATCACACTACCTAGTCCAATTCATCTCTGAATTTTTTTGAGGTATTTTTTTTCTCCTGAACAGCTTTATTGAACAAAGGCATGATAATGTAAGTATGCATCCCTTCCTGATATTTATTCCCTTTCATCCATTTCAACAAGGTCCAACAAAATAACTCTTTATATTTGCTCTAAATCTGGAAAAATGGTTGAACAGTCTCTTGTTGGTTTTGGCTGAAGACATCATTAGCTGTTAGATGCCTTTTTCCTGCTAAAGGAAAGAGTTTCCCAAATGGATCAAGGTAGAAGGTTTATCCAAGATTAAAAGGCCCAAATTTGAAAACATAGCTTTGTGCCTGTTGTTCACAAAGTTCCGAAAGACCCGAAAAAGGCAGAGCTGCCTTAGGACTTGTACAAAACCCACTTTAAGTATCCTATGAAATCACTGTAGAGAGACCAGAATTATTTAAAAAGGATTATTTATTAAACATATTTCTTTACAAAGTACAATCAATGGTTTGCATTAAATTTTGGGGTTTGGTATTTGCCTGTATGTACACAAAAGCATATAACAGAAAATGTGTCTTGATTTTACACATGGGACACAATACTGAGTTACGTTCATATTTTAATTTCTACCAACATAAGCAGTTGATAATAACTTTCAGCTTATCTGCTGTTTTTTTTAAACTGAAGATGAAGCAACAGCATTTCTGCAGAGTGTCAGTATTTATCAATGTACTCAATTATGACAAAATAGAAATGAATAATCCTTTGGGAAGTTTCCACCGAGCATGAGTGGAACATGACATTTTTTGGCAGGTTACTGGACTATCCTTATGATCCTAAAAATCATTTTTTTTGCAGTTATAAGATAAGAAGAATTGAGGAGCTAGGTAAGTTTAATAATACCCTATTAGCAGCAGTTGATAGTAAATGCAACATAAGGTTTGTTTTGTCTGTCATACAAGGACGTGTCCTAGCAGACACTATTGTATTGTTCTCTACTTGAACAAAAGTATCTGCATGTATTGTATGTCTTTGGAAAAACAAAACAAAAATAAAGAGACAAAAAGCCATTTATTGTCATGAGTGACTATTGCCATCAGCTAATATGAATGCATTGCTAAAATTAGTGAAGACAGGAAAATGCTGTAAGGTAAATATATACAGAGTTAAAATACATTTCTTATCCACTAGATAGTGATTTTGTGGCACTGTGGTTTTCAGAATATAACGTCTGTTGAGAGCAATGTAATTTTCAGTGCAAGCTAAAGCAAAAATACCTGCCCGCTGTCATAAACATGACAAACAAATCTGGAATGTTCAAAGTAAGTTCATCTTCCACTTCTCCACTCTTGAGGCACCCTTAAGACATGGCACTTACTGTAAACCATCTAAAAATCAAGAAAAGCAGACACAATAAGCCTGAATTTTCCATAGCAACTTTAAAAATCACTGCCAGAGTCACTTGCATACGTAAACGATGCCTGTGTAAGGCTTGCCAGCAAAGCATCTTTCCTGAGAACGGAGCTGGGACACTCTCTGTGTATCATAAGTGTGCGTGCTCAGAGCTGTGATCGCTGTCGTGGCTGTCGTCGTTCGCTAGTGAGTCCCCCGTGTGCTGGAGACCAGCTGCGCCGATGCCAGAGAGCTCGGAGGGGAGCAGCGTGCCCTTTTTCACATTCACCAGTTCCTTCTCCCGGGCTGCTGCCCCTTGCTGGCCCCCTTTTACCCGCTTCCACTTCATTCGTCTGTTCTGGAACCAAACTTTTACCTTCGTGGAAGAAAGACAAAAGAAGAAAATAAAGATGGGGTCATTGAAGGTAATAATGATCTTTCTAGCTGTGGCACAGCACTTGACTCTTGTCTTTTTTTTTCATGTGCAAGATGCTGCCTTTCTGTCTGTATGGTAAAAAGCTTAGCAAGCCTTCCCTGAGGAGCAGGCAAGCCAGTTTTGGGTAGGACCTGAATCCTGGGTTGTGAGGATAATGACTGCAACGGAGGGAAAGGGGTTACCACAAGAAAGCAGCCAGTCTATCTGCAGCAGATAGCTCCACAGGAAGATCTCAGAGGCCCTTAGCAAACATTAAAAAGTTAACATACTCTCGAAAAATGGATTAATGCCATTTCACAGGCAGAGAAACAGAGGCAAAATGGTACCCATCAAGGGACCGCGCAGAAGAACCTATCTCTCGGGTAGCAGAGAGCCCAGTCTGCTGGCAGGGACCCATACAGCTGCCCCTTGTGCTTACAGCACTACTATTAATCACCCTTCAAAGAGGGTAGTTACTTTGGAAAGGAACTTACACTGAAAAGTTTGCATCGCTTTCTGCCTGTTTGTTTCTGTAAACTGATGGTAGGTTTCAGGCGGAGCATTTTAAAAGCTCTTTTGGTTTAGTTGCTGAAGTATCGGAAAGAACTTTTCTTACTGTCAAAACTTATGACTTCCCTATCTATTCTACAAATGTATTTAAATGATTCTAGTTGACTGATCCTCAGTTCTACTATATTTAGCCATAGACCCTGGTCAAAGTTTTCAGATAAATACCCTCAAAGCCAAGAAATTTATAAATTTGCGTCAAAATCAGCAAATAATTTCAGATGAGAATGCAAAAGAAATTCGTAGCATGAAAGATTAAAAAATTATCTGTATTTAAATCACATTAAACCCCAAGATTTCACTCCAGCTGAAACTCATTTCCCCTCATCCTCTTCTCTGTATAGAAATGGGGGGGGGGGGGGGCGGAGGTGGAGAGAAGAAAAGAAAAAAAAAAAAAAAAAGATGTTCATAGCATCTGTCAAATGTATTAGACCAGATTAAAGGCTGATTTCAAATCAGCTTAAAATATTGTCACTGAAAACACTATGAATAAAAGACTGTTGGGTTTGATCCATTTAGAGTTAATGCTGCTAAAAACTCTCATGCGTGTGTATCTGTGCAGCATGAAAGTTCCACAGAAAAATAAACAACGTCGGCAACTTTTCCCTTGGAAAGAAAGCAAGAAAGCTTGCAATGTCGGTGTATGCTCTGCTACGTTTAGCAGAATGTGTTTCAGAGTTTAAAAAGAAACAGCAAGGAACAGGCACAGCAGGACATATTGTACAACATGAGTAATAGAGCCACAAAAATGCTGCTTTGCTGAATCTGTCTTATACATCCAGGAAACACTGCAGTGTTTAACCTTTACTATCACTTTGAATTTTACATTAAAATGTTACTACAATTGAACTGATAGTTAATGTCACTGTTGGTATGTATGTATGTGGGAAGGAAGAGAGGTGTATTTATTTTTTTATGCTCTATATTCCTCTTACAGCCAACATGAGCTGTTAAAGCCAATCACTTGGGAACAGAGCAAAATGATTCCAGGTTAGTTAAGAGCCTCAAAGCACAGCACATCCTTTCCTTTAGTCAACTCATCAAGAGCCAAAGAATCTGGCTTGTAAAGTGAAATAAGTGTAAAGGGGAAGGTATTTATTACTGGCTGCTGTGATGTTGGGAATTATCATGCTCGGGTCATGTGTCAGAGGTGTCCATCGAAACAGTGTCTTCAAAAGGGTACAGCATTAGTACAGCCTTGGCAGCTTTCTGGGGGAAGTGAAGACGTCATTTTGTTTATTATTGGGTTTTTTTAAGACAATGAAGTTTCTCTTGTGAAAGACACTACTATACTAGTGCAAAACAGTTCAGTAGATGCAACCGCAGTCATAAGCTAAACATCAAAAATAATAGACTTGGGATTCGACCCAGTGTCACAGATATTATCGCTCTTCTTCTGAAATAAGGGACCAGAGAACTTTATTCGATAAGGACAAATGACTGGCTTGGAGTGATGTTTAAAAGATCTAAGCCATTCTCCAGATATCTTTACATCCTTGAAAATTCATGGAATAAGTCACAGCTTTGAAAGCCTGAAACAAAATAATAATGTACACAAAAAGTGATTTCGAGAAAAGTAACAGTGATGCATTTGAAGCAAAAAAATTTCAATGCATCACCTGGATTCAACTCACTTTAACTTACTGGAACAGTAAAGATCCAGGCAAAACACCTTCCAGATGTATGCATTTCATTTTTGGATAGTTGGGAAACTGAAGCTAATACTCCTACAGTTGCTGTCAGAAACTGTTCTGGGTGGGACAGACGTGAGCAGGATGACTGCTGCCTGGCTGCTGATGCAGGCACTCATCCCTGTCCCACTCACAGACAGAGCTAGATTCTCACATCTGCTTGCTTGACTTTTTTGACTCCAATTTAATAAATTGTTCTTTTTTTATTTTCCATTTTTTTCTTACAGTATTTTGTTGCTGCTGGTTTTTATAATTCAGGTCCTTCACAAAACCACAGTCAAGAGCAGTCTCTCTCTCCTTGAGCGTTAAACCCAGGAGAACCAAGTGGCACCAGCTTCCAGGTAACGACCAGCTGAGGAGAGGCTGGGGAGTACCTCTTCATTCAGATCATCTACCCTCAGACCAGCTCATCCGACCATGCCCTGAAATGCCTCCACCAGGGATGAGTCTAGGTCAGCGTCTGTATATTACTTGCTAGAAATCAATTAAATGACAATGATTTCCCTTTTCAAGCATAAGTGCAAAATACATTTCTAAATTCCTCAGAGGATCCAGCATGCTATGTCTACATGTGATCCACTGTCTGGGAAACATGACATTTAAGGAAAGTAGGGCTAACAGGACTCCAGCTACCTTTGCATGCACTCTTTTGAGCGTAGGGAAAAGGGAGTAACCCTGGTGCTCTCATAGGAGAATATATAGTACTGACTGGCATGTAGCCTGCCAGGCTTCCTATGAAGAGAAAATAGTAACAATTAAAAAAAAAAAAAAAAAAAAAAAAAAAAGGTGAAAAAAAGCTTTAGGATTTTTTAACTAATGCTTTCAAATAATCTGCATCTGATTTACTAAGAGAATATCAAATATGAAATTTTTTCATCTGGTATGTCAAAGATTAGTTTCAAAAGCTAAAAATCATTTATCGTAAAGTTTATTACTGAAAATATTATGCATTCTTTTTAATGTCATTTGGTGCGTTAATGTACAGAGGGAGTCTTACATGATGGAAATACGTTACATATTTTTGATATATATTTATTTATGTCCTCCATTATAAAGTACTGAAATCCACTTTTGACCTGATCCAAAGTACACTAATGTCAGTGTGAGTTTTTCCATTGAGTTCAATGGACCCTAGATGAAGTCTTTAATGCTCATGTGCTAATAATATGAGACAGGTCCTTCACTTGTTATTTCCTCTAGAGATCAAATTCAGATACTGGAATTTTGAACTTCCTTTGGAGCTGAAGAGTCAATTATGGGGGGTATAGTTGTTACTGATATATGATCCATCTATATTTTAGTAATGGGAAGGAAGTGAAGCAAACTTTTGTGTGAAGTACTTCAGAGTGTCAGCTTATCTGGGTTCATGGAAAACTGTGCTTTTCAAACACACAGAGCATTTGAAACTTCAGGTGTTGCACAAAACATGCATCAGAACAAAACACCTTGAGAAACAAAAAGGAGAGAAGAGAAAGAGAAAGAGCAAGAGTGAGAGAAAGGAGAGATGACTGAAAGAAAAAGAAAGAAAAAATTAAAATAAAAGAGAGAGAAAAAAGCCCTTACTGAAGTGAACTTGAAATCAACTCTCGAACTTTTTTCCGTTGAAAGAACAAGCGCCCTTACTGAAGTGAACTTGAAAAACTCTCGAACTTTTTTCCGTTGAAAGAACAAGCTTGTGCCATTTACAATCTTTGCAAAAATTATATCCTTTAAAAGTAGTTTAAAGATCTACTATGACAAACTTGATACCATAGGTTTTATGAACCTTTTTATGCTGTTTTTCAAGTCTAAGTTGGCTCCAGCAGGAGCTGAGAGTGCTCACCACCTCCCAGAATCAGGTCCTGATTGCCTATTTTTTATTAAAATGCGCTTCCTCTTCTCCACCCTCTGACTAGCACAACTTAACTGTATAGAGCAAGCATATGTATGTATGGAAAACAAAGGAAGTGGAGGGAAATGAACTATATTAAAGATGATGGTAGCATTAACAGCTGTTTCTAAATCAGCACTTAGGAGCCAGTCTATTGAGCACATCTGCTTACTGGCACGAAAGCACAGTTTCTTTTTCCTTAGTCAACAAGTTGTTTAGCATCTGCATCTCCACATCTGATGATTAGAGTGTTACTTAAGATACGAGTAAATGATTTCACATTGTGCATCTCCTGATGTACCAGAGAAATGCTTTCACTGTGACCAATTTGTTTTAAGGTCTACTCTGCAGGAATCATGGGAGGATATTCAAAACAAGGGGGTTAACATTGTTAGTGCCTACATTACTAAAGTAATCATTATATACTTATGATATACAGGTCCTTAGTAGACTTAAGGGCCACCTTATGTGCTGTCTTGCATGCATATCTTTAATACAACTTCATGATGGGAACATGAACACATCATTTTGGTTCCAAGTGAGCTTATCACCTAAACTTCTGACTTAATACCCCTTCTTCAATAGAGACCTTCAGTCACAGTAACTTTAAGAACAGTTGACCAACCATGCTCTGTAGAATGCAGATACTTCCTTTTGGCATGGGATTTTAGCATTCTGTACTTACAGAAAAACCTAAACAGATACTTTCTATAATTAATGACTACTTATTAATAAAGACATTCTTGATTAGAAAATGAAAGCATGACATAATTCAAACTACCTTAGTTGCACCATCTGCTATCTTTCTTCTTTTAAGAAAAAAGACATTTATC